TATGACTGTACTTTTTACAAAACAGATTTGTTTGGTCTTTTGGCATTCCATGGTATATTCAATACTCTTCACCAACATCACAATTCAAAGGCATCAATTCTTCTTCCGTCTTCCCTACTCATGGTCCAGCTTTCACAGGCTTATGAGGCAACTGGAAACACCATGGCTTGGGTCAGGTGCATCTTACTCTTCACTGTGACATCTTTGCTTTTTAACACTTTAAAGAGGTCCTTTGTAGCAGATTTGCACAATCCAATGCGTCAGGAGATTTCTTGACTGCTGCTTCCATGTGTGTTGATTGTGAATCCAAGTAAAATGAAATCCTTGACAACTTCAATCTTTTCTCCATTTATCATGATGTTGCTTACTGGTTCAGCTGTGAGCATTTTTCTTTATGTTGAGGTGTAACCAATACTGAAAGCTGTAGTCTTTGATCTTCAACAGTAAGTGCCTCAAGTCCTCTTCACTTTCAGCAAGCAAGGTTGTGGCATTTGCATATCACGGATTGTTAATGAGTCTTCCTCCAATCTTGATGCCCTGTTCTTCTTCATATAGTCCAGCTTCTCAGATTATTTTGCTCAGCATATAGATTGAATAATTATGGTGAAAGGATACAATTCTGACGCACACCTTTCCTGACTTTAAACCACGCAGTATACCCTTGTTCCATTCGAACGACTGCCTCTTGATCTATGTACAGGTTCCTCATGAGCACAACGAAGTGTTCTGGAATTCCTATTCTTCACAATGTTATCCATAATTCATTATGATCCACATAGTCGGATGCCTTTGCATAGTCAATAAAACACAGGTAAACATCTTTCTCGTATTCTCTGCTTTCAGCCAGGATCCATCTGACATCAGCAATGATATCCCCCGTTCCACGTCCTCTTCTGAATCCAGCTTTCATTTCTGGCAGTTCCCTGTCGATGTACTGCTGCAACCACTTCTGAGTGATCTTCAGCAAAATGTTACTTGTGTGTGATATTAATGATATTTTCAATAATTTCCACATTTGGTTGGATCACCTTTCTTTGAAATAGCATAAATATGGATCTCTTCCAATTGGTTAGCCAGGAAGCCGTCTTCCAAACTCCATGGCATAGATTAGTGAGCACTTCCAGAGCTCCATTCATTTCTTGAAACATCTCAACTGGTATTCCATCATTTCCTAGAGTCTTGTTTTCCCCCATGCCTTCAGTACCATTGGTTCCTGATCATATGCTACCTTCTGAAATGGTTGAATGTCAACCAATTCTTGTTGGTATAGTGACCCTGTGTATTCCTTCCATCTTTTGATGCTTCCTGTGTCGTTTGCTCTTTTCCCTGTAGAATCTTTCAATACTGAAACTCGAGGCTTAAATTTTTTCTTCAGTTCTTTCAGTTTGAGAAATGCTGAGCATGTTTTTCCCTTTTGTTTTCCAACTCTAGGTCTTAGCACGTCATTATAATACTTTACTTTGTCTTCTCTAGCTGCCCTTTGAAATCTGTTCAGCTCTTTTACTTTATCATTTCTTCCATTTGCTTTAACTGCTCAACATTCAAGAGCAAGTTTGGGAGTCTCTTCCGATATTCATTTTGGTCTTTTCTTTCTCTCTTATCTTTTTAATGACTTCTTGCTTTCTTCATGTATGATGTCCTTAATGTCATTCCACAACTCAGTCTTCGGTCATTAGTGTTCAAGGCATCAAATCTATTCTTGAAATGGTCTCTAAATTCAGATGTGATATACTCAAGGTCATACTTTGGCTCTCATGGACTTGTTATAATTTTCTACAGTTTCAACTTGAACTTGCATATGAGCAATTGATGGTCTGTTCCAGTCGGCCCCTGTCCTTGTTCTGACTGATGACATAGAGCAGTGGTTAAGTGCTCAGCGGCTACCCAAAAGGTCAGTGGTCTGAACCTACCAGCCACTCCACAGGAGAAATATGTGGCAATCTGCTTCCATAAAGATTACAGCCTTGGAAACCCTATGGGGCAACTTGACAGCACCCAATAATAACAATTCATTTACACAACAGCCAGTGACCATCTTAAAATGAAAATTTGATATTATTCTCTTGCATAAAATCCTTCAGTGGAGTCCCACAGCACTTAGAATAAAATTCCAAATCCTTGCCATAACCTAAAAGGCTTGGAATGATCTGGCCCCTGCTTACCTCCCTAACCTTACCTTCTACTACCTTCCACCATTCTTCCTGTGCTGTAGCGACATTAACCTTCTTTCATTTCCTGAGAGTGAAATGAAGGTTAAAAAAAAAAAAATCACTTTCAAATTTTTCTAGAGGAAAACACTAGAAGGAGTACCTGAGTGGAGCAAATAGTTACGCACCTATTAGCCAAAAAGTTGGCAGTTCGAACCCACTTTGAGGCATCTTGGAAGACAGGCCTGGTGATCTGCTTCCAAAAGGTTACAACCTTGAAAACCCTATGGAGCAGTTCTACTCAGCACACGTGGGGTCACCATGAGTCAGAAAAGAAAGAGACCATGGCAACAACAACAAAACACTAGAAAGAGTGATGTTTCTAGAGATAAAGTGAGAGCACTATAAAAACCAACCTCTCTGTGGCTGGAAGAAAGAGTAATGTTTTGGGTGGGTTCAATTGAGGGAGGGTAGGCCTACTAAGTGGAGACAAACACCCGGATCAGTGCTTTACAAATTACAGGGATCTACTTAGTGAGACTACATCAAAAAGAAAAAAAAAAACAGTTGTCGATAACGAGATCAATCAAATCAATCCATTATCATTTCTGTCCCCCTCTGTTCTGAGACTTAACCACAAATGCAGCATTTCTTCCTCTGACCCTAACTACTCGGAGCGAAGTCAGATCTCACAAGTTACAAGGCACAGTCCTCCAGACTGCCAAGCCTGCCCAAGACCTCAGACGACAATCTCAAACTTGAAATCCCCAAGACACCATCACTTCAAACCTGCTGGCTACAAACTTGGGGGTTTTCCTACCACCCCCTCAGGATGCCAACCCTAAGTGTAAGGACCAATACAAACTGGAAATAAGAGGTTTTAATTCTCCCGGTTGAAAATAAGGGAAAACACTACTCTTATTTTTGTGGAGAGGTTTTCCAGATTGGGATTGGAAGTAGACTTTTTAATTATATCTCCCAAACATTAAGTTCGTGCCACCCCAGGGCTTCCCTTACTTCTGACCTGCTGGCTCCGGCTACTCCTTCGGGTTTTACTAAAATGACTTAACATTGAAGGAAAAGTGCTATACTTACAACTACACTTTTATTACAGCAAAAAGGATACAAATGAAGAAAGGCATAGGGAAAGATCTGTAGGTAACAGACCCCTTTGAGTACCTGACAAAACTACGTATCCTTCCTAGAAAGCACATGTGCAGGCAACACTGCACACAATTCAAGAGGTCATAGAGTCCCTACAGCTTACCGAAGACGCCATGGGGTCGGTGAGCCCCAGGTTTGACAATCAGAATTCAGATGAGTATAAGGGGAGACATTTCACTAGAGGGGCAAGGACAGAGACTTACCTTCAGCAGGCTAAGGAATGACTGGAAGGTGAGAAAATAGAGAAGGCAATCCGAATCATTAGCCACCTGCATCATGCAGCTGATACAACCTTGCTTGCTGAAAAGTGAAGAGGACTTGAAGCACTTACTGATGAAGATCAAAGACCACACAGCCCTCAGTATGGATTACACCTCAACATAAAGAAAACAAAAATCCTCACAAGCAACATCATGATAAATGGAGAAAAGATTAAAGTTGTCAAGGATTTCATTTTACTTGGATCCACAATCAACACCCATGGAAGCAGCAGTCAGGAAATCAAACAATGCATTGCATTTGGCAAACCTGCTGCAAAAGACCTCTTTAAAATGTTCTAAAGCAAAGACGTCACCTTGAAAACTAAGGTGCACCTGACCCAAGCCATAGTGTTTTCAACTGCCTCACAGGCATGTGAAAGCTGCACAATGAACAAGGAAGACCAAAGAACTGACACCTTGGAATTATGGTGTTGGCAAAGAATACTGAATATACCGTGGACTGCTAAACGAACGAACAAATCTGTCTTAGAAGAAGTACAACCAGAATGTTCCTTAGAAGGATGGAGAGACTATGTCTCACATACTTTGGACATGTTATCAAGTGGGATCAGTCCCTGGAGGACATCATGCTTGGTAAAGCCGAGGGTCAGTGAAAAAGAGGAAGACCCTCAACGAGATGGATTGACACAGTGGCTGCAACAATGGGCTCAAGCATAGCAACGATTGTGAGAATGGCACAGGACTGGGCAGTGTTTCGTTCTGTTGTACACTGGGTTGCTATGAGTCAGAACCAACTTGACAGCACGTAAAAACCACAATCAGAATCAGTTCTTCTAAGAAGTCAGACTAACTGTGAAGGAACTGAATAAACACAGCAGAAGCTAGAAAGGAGGTTTAAAAGGTCAAGGTTTTTTTTTTAATATGAAAGATCTGACACTAGGAAAAACTTCACCACAAGACAGTGACAGGAGTCACTGCCTTAACCAGGGATAGGACTGATACGAGAATCCTAGTCTCCCTTGTCTTGCATTGCAAAGAGCCACTTGTCAAAACTAAAAACCGTGATTAGGTGTAGGCCAAAGGCAATTTTCCATCACTATTTAACAGGCAACAGCTGATTCCACAGGCACCGGCTATTAGCTATTCCTAACTATTGACAAAAATTCCCCAATATGAGCATCTTCAACTTACCTGAAGGGTTTCTGCCCTACTGAAGGAGGATGTACAAGATCAGCATTTCCTACCTACGTCTCCTAAAGTACTCCCATACCCACCCATTGCCATCGAGTTGAAATCAAAATATGCATGCCCAGAAAAAAAAGGTTTTTAAAGTTAGTATATCTGATAACTCATTTTTTATATTTTTATGTGTATTTCGAAACTTTTAAAAAATAAATATGTATTCCTTTTGCAATTTTTTAAAAAGATTTTTTTAAAGATTAATTTACAGCTCAGGATAACTACTTACCATGGAATTGACCTCTCAAAATAGTCACGCCATCTATTACAGAGTGTGAAAGTTTCTCACTGCTGGGCCTAGTAAAGAAAGACAATAAAACCAATAGAGTTGTTGTTCTGAAAGAAAATGCAGACATGTGCTGCAAATTTCAGGACAATAAGACGTACGTTGTATTTTAACTGAAACCTATAAACTCTGAGAAACCCACTGATTGCTGTCAAGTCCATTCTGACTCATAGTGACCCTGTAGGACAGAGTAGAACTGCCCCCAGAGGATTCCCAAGGCTGTAAATCTTTATGGAAAGAGACTGTCACATCTTTCTCCCACAGAACAGCTGGTGGGTTCGAACTGCCGACCTTTTGGTTAGCAGCTGAGCACTTTAACCACCGCTCTACCAGGGCTCCTGTAAATTCTGAAAAGACACCGGGAAATTATAAGCAATTTCCAGTAGCTTTCAGAATACATTTCTTGGAAAGATTTTGACATTTAGATGAATTTAGAAAATAGATATAAAAAGATATAGTAACCTCACTATCTCAAACACCTTTTTCCTCCAAGTTTGACTGTAACATTAATGCTGTCAAAGAACAATTATAATAAATGTGAAACCATGCAAAATACAGTACTGGGTACTAAACTACCAAGGATATAGAACCAATTTTTCATTTTTAAAAGTCCAAACAAATTATTTATATACCTGAAAATAAAGATTACTTAACTGCCTTGTAGAAAAAGATAATCTATATTTTTTAAATTAGTTAAGAGGTAAGAGCAAAACACATGTGAAATGGCTTTTCAGTGAAGTTGTAATATATTTCAGAGCTTAAGTCACTTGGCTATTTCTGCTACCTATAATCTGCAGTCAATGGTGAAATGGTATCTGAAAGACCACTCTGGTAACACAATAAAGGGTTTTTAAAAAACAGACCAAGCACTGGGAGACTGAATAGAATTTCCCTTTCGAAAGAATTTCTGAATAAACCAGATCTCATGCAAAAGGGAAGGCAGTTTTAATCTAAAACTTTATTAAAAAAAAAAAAATTGTAAAGGAAGGCAAAAGCTACCAAATCATCACAAATGTATAGAAAATAAAATAGATTGTTAATATTTTCCAGAGAACTCCAGTATGGGAAAATGATATAAATATATGAACCAATAATAATACAGATTATAAAATAAATCCCTAGAGTCAATAGCATGGTGGCACAGTGGTTAAAGTGCCCAGCCAGTAACCGAAAGGTCAACAGTTCAAACCCACGAGTCACTCTGCTGAAGATGTAGGAGTCTGCTTCTGTAAAGATTACAGTCTTGGAAACCCTATGGGGCCGTTTTACTTTGTCCTATAGGGTTGCTATGAGTCAGAATCAACTCAGTGGCAGTGGGTTTGGTTTGGTTTTGTACTTGCTCTAGAGAAAAAGAAAACTACAGAAGGTTGAGAGGGTGGGTTGGGGAGACATTAAACTCCTTCCTCATGCCAGGAAATACGTTTTTTGCATACATTATTTCATTTCGTCCTCACTAAAACCCTGTGATAGGCCTATCATCAACATTTTACAAATGAGGAAATGGAAGCTCCAAAAGTTAAGAAACCTGTTCAAATCACAGAGTAAGTGTTAGAGATGGGATTCACCAGAGTCTGATTCCAAAACCCACCCTGCAATAGCGACTCCTGTTGTTTTTGTTCTTAGTTGCCATGGCATCGATTCCAACTCATGGTGACCCCATGTGCAGACTAGAACTGTGCTCCATAGGGTTTATAAGGCTGTGACCTTTCGGAAGAAGACTGCCAGGCCTGCTTCAGAGGCACCTCTGGATAGGTTCAAACTGCCAAAAGGTTAGTAGTCAAGCACTTAACCATTTGTGCCACCCAGCCACCTGACTTACTCTACATCCTATTAGAGAAGTCAGGTAGATCGAGAAGCCACTCAGGGCAGTTCTACTCTACTTAATTCTTTTAATTCATCTTGGGTACTAAAATGGATGCAATCATTCACATCACTTCTGGTATCTCTACCAATAACTATGATGCTCACCTGGTATCTCTACCAATAACTACAAAGGCATCTTGTTGCAAATTCACTGCTTCTTTCTCAATGATGCCAATCAGCACTCTCTGCATATCCTGCTCCTCAGCGTTTGCCAAACAGGTGGCGTGTTCCTCCCAGGATGGTGCCAACATTTCACCCAAAGGATCAACCAATTTTACACCATTGTCTTCCTTAAAAGAAAAACAACAAGCAATCTGTGCATATCCATGAGCGCCGAGCTGAAGAACAACTTATACGGTTTTCCTCCCAGCAAAGGACAGTAATGGTAGAGCTGCTTCAACAATGACCACAAATCGGAAACCAGGCGCTGGACTGGGTATTTTATATACATTATCTCATTAGATCCTCATGACACACTTATCAATCTTACTCTGAGAAAGCTAAGATTTAGAGAAGCCAGGTAATTCGTTTATGTCCACACAGCTAAAAAGTATCAGCGCTGATATTAGAAGTCTGACTCTTAAATCTAACACCCGCCTTGCTACCCAAGCACTATCAATTAACTGACTAGGGCACAACTGGAGCAGATTCAGGGCACCTAGAGAGCCTTCTCCCTATAATTCTGACTCCAAGAACATACTGGCCAGCCTGCTAACCAGTGGGTAGCACAGAAGCTGAAAACTGACTCCCAACTCTGTTCTGCTCAAATTCCTGGAAAGAAAGTGCAGTTAGCAGCAAATGCCAACTGAAGGAAACAGTTCAGAATGGTTTTGAACTAGCTTTATATTTCTCAAACAAATCTGAGGTACTTCCTACAAGTCACCGATCAATTACAGTGATTTTTACATTTAGGTATTTACACATCTATCATGATCACACATTTAGAATCCAGCAAGCAGTGTCCTCTTGTTTAGGGGGAGGCAAAGGTTACAATCCTTCACTAATTTACGCTTTAACTTGCAGCTAATTTTGCTATAAAAGTAAAAATCTATTGCCCTAGCATCACACAGTGGCATATTATTGAAACCATGTATCAGCGAACTATAGGAAGTACATAATAAAATAAAAGGAATATTTTGATTATAAACTTTTTAGGAAAACAAGAACCACTGGGCCTCCTCAATATTCTGCCCTAAACTTATTTTCCGATCCCTGGAGCCACCTGCTTAGCTGCTCATTCAGGACAGGAAACTACTCGCTAGCTATAGAAAACCAGCCTGAAAATATTCAAAATGTGTTGTCTTTTCGAATGTTTGCCCTCCCTCCCTTCCCACTCCTGCCCTCAATCTCTTTCATCACTTCTAACAGAAGTTAACATCCTTTCATTACTGATACTGTCTCTATACCACTAACTTGAAAGAACATTCTTTCATTTCTCTAATATGGACGCTCTCCAAAAAATGCATGTTTCATTTCTTTCTCTCCACACTCTAAAGAGCCATGAGCTACATGACCACTTTGTTAAAAAAAAAAAAGTTGTTAGAAGTCCAAAGACACATAATAATAAAAGCGCACATTCCTGGAATTAGAATTTGCACTTAGGGTCAAACTGCTCGGGCACTATGGTTTGGTCTTGTAAAAAAAGGTGTGCTTTGTCAGAGTACTAAACGCATTACCTCAGGATTGTGTGATGCAGTTACCATGACTCCTATCGTAGATTTTGTCTGTTTTGACCTCAGGACAGCCAATAATCCCATGCGAAACATGACATGATCAAGATGTTCTGCCTTTGTTCGAAATCCAGCAGTCCCATATTGAAGAATGAGTCCACCGGGCTTGGCATGTAATGCGGAGTATTTTGTAATAACGTCTAAATCCATGTCTACAAAATTACGGAATAATTTTCACACATAACAAAAATGTCAAGGATCTTTTGCTTCAAAAGCTGTCACTCTACCCTAACAGGTCTAACATTATCCTTTCTTTACTATCCTTCATTGCATCGATGAATAAAAGTTAAAAGAAATAGACAAAATGCTTTTGCCCAGTTAGAAAAACATAGCAAGCAGCAAGTCAATTTAGTTCGGTCCAAAGTGATCAAATCTGTTTCACAACCATAAGAACATTTTAAAAATACTGACCAGTGAGTAACATATTACAATTATTCATAAGGGCGTAAACTAGCCCTGCTAAAGTCTCAAAGTGTTTTAAAAAAAAAAAAAAAAAAGCTAGGATAAAACGTTTCCATCCTTAAACGCGTTTCAGGTCCTAAAAGCTACGTTCAATCAGCATGCGAATGCTTTTAACTAAAGCTATATTTTCCAAATCCAAACAATATTCACTCTTTAAAAAAAAAAAAAAGTACCCCCTTTCTCTCCATTCAATCTTCAAAACTGTTTGTTCCTCTCTCCTCCCTCTTCTCTCTACCCTGGCACTCAACAGTGAGGCCCCACGCAAGCCAGTGGACAAGAACCCCCAGAACGAGACCCTCCGGCCGGACCCACCAGCTCCCGAGGTGCAGTGGCGAGTGGGTGTGTCTGGCGAACACTCCGTAGCTCAGTAATTAGCTTGCCTGCTAGCTGTCGGTCCGGCAGAGGATTCCACCAGTCTGGTTTCCCCCTAAACCCTGTGGGTCGGAATGCCCCCATTCTCGACTCCAAACCTGGGGGCCCGCTCACCTCTGCCAGGACTGCCGCTCGCCTCCACCGCGCCGAGAACCGGACACTAACGCTCAGAACCCGCAGACGTGGCCCCGCGTGGCTTCCGGCTTGTGGCCACGCCCCTCAGCCAATCACGGCGGAGGAGGGTCTGCTGGCCGGGTCAAGTCCTCCTTGCCCGTCACGCGCCAAGCGCGCGTGCGGAACTGAGGTTCCGCTTCTGCGTGTGCTCTGTGGCTGTTTCCATTGAATGACCTGGAAGGGTGATGCCTGGGGCTGTACGGCGAACCACCCCGCAGTGGACCGGGGATGGGGCTGAGGGTCGGGGGCCGTTATAGCACTGCCGCCGGCAGATACGCAGCTTCTGCCTCTAAACTTGGGCCTTAGGAGTAGGCAGGCAGCCGTGGTCCTGCGTGGGGTAAATGAGCCCTGATTTGGAGTCTCGGCCACAGTGAGCACCATCCTGGCTTTCCCTCACCCCCCTTTTGATTTTCGAGGTTCATCTCCCAAATCTTTAACTCCGGGAAGCCTTCCCGGGCCACGTCTCCCCTTGAGCTCGCAAGAAACGTCATTTCCTTTATTTACCTCTATGTCCCCTCTTCTGGACCCCTCACAGTAGAGGCCACGTGGTTGCACGTTGTCCCGCCCTCCTGTCATGCTGCCAGGCGGGTGTGGCTCCTGGCAAAGGTGGGAAGGCCCTCCCCGAAGGAACCCGCGGCGCTGGGACCAAGGGGCTGTGACTGGTCCGCGCCGGCTAGAGGCGTTGGGGGCAGCGGGGCGCGCGTGGCTGGGCTGCCCTTCCGCAACGTTTAGCTCCGCCCGAGCCTGGGACCTGGGTGGGATTCGGAACCGGGCAGAGCCCCAGCTTGCAGAGCATCTACTACTATTGTTTGCCGACCACATACCAAAAAAACAACCAACCCCGCTGCCGTCCAGTTGACTCCGACTCATGCAGACCACATACAACGGAATAATTTAGGACATCTGTTGAAAGTGAAAATTCCTGTGTCGGGGTGGGGCGGTGGGGGCGGGAGGCTGGGAATCCGTTCTTTAACAAGTATCTCAAAGGAATGCTTGTGTATTAGATTTTGGGGTCAGGAGACAAAGCAGAAGGGTGTAATTGTCCCGATTTGTGCCCATAGCTCTTGCTGCAAAACGCTCCAGCAGAACTGCTGCCACGTAAAAGGTACCTTCGGGAAATTTCGCTGGACGCCGCTGACGTTGACAAACCCAGTACCCCTGGGAGTTTCTCAGGCTTCCGGAAACGTTGATCCAGGCAACATGTCGGCTTCAGTGAAAGAATGCCTTCAGCTTCAGCTACTGGAGATGGAAATGTTGTTTTCTATGTTTCCTAACCGAGGAGAAATAAAGCTTGAAGATGTAAATGCCTTGACGCATGTAAAGAGATACTTGGAAGGCAAAAGGGAGGCCCTGCCACCAAAAATCGAATTTGTGATTACACTCCAGATTGAGGAGCCCAAGGTGGGTGCCCTGAATTGTTTTAAGCGTTGCCTAACCGAAATGCCTGGGACGGGAGCTTCCTGGCCAGGACACAAATAGAGAATATTCCAGATGTATAGTATTTCTTTTACTTGTTTGAAAGCAAAATATATTTCCTTTTTTCTTTTAAAACGACAAAAGCTGCAGCATACAATGCAAAGTATGAGATGTCCTGTAAATTCGTTTCAGTAGGTATTCTGGGTTTTATATAAATATGTATACATTTTTATCAAATGCGTCTAGTATTTTTATTAAAAACATCTCACAGTCTTAGATTACCGTTATTATTCTGTTCATACATCCAGTTTCTACCAATCCAACTGTTGTAGCATGGACTAGCTTATACATATATCATGGTAATTTTCACAAATCTAAATTTTGCCTTTTGCAAAACTGCTTTTAGTGAGTGAATGAATGTTTCTTTAATGGCACTGTAACAGAAAACAACTATACAAAATCTGAACACTAAAAATGAATCTGCCTTCAGCTTTATCTGATGCCTTTATTTCCAGCAACATTACTATAACATAGGTACCATGTGGACTGGACATTTGAAAATCACCTTTTTACCTATTTCCTATTTATCTTTCAATTGCCATTCCCTCAGAGGTGCCTTCCGGGTTCCCCAGACTGGATTCAGTTCCTCTGGTTACACATTTCCATGGAACCTAGTACCTTTACATGGTAATGCTTCTCACAACTGGAATTAAATATTTGATGGGTGTAATTATTTGCTTGGTTTCTATCTCCTCTACTAGACTATAGACTTCATGAAGGGCAGAAATAGTGTATAGCTTCTTCACTTCTTTATCCCAGCACAGGGTACCTGGCACATGGTAGGTATTCAATCGATATTTGAAAGGATGATCGCATAAAATATAAAGTGCTTAGTACAGTGTCTGACACATAGCTAATAGTAGTAGCAATAACTATTACATTTATCAAAAGTAGTTCCCGTTGATAAACTAACATGATTTTATGGTGCTTACATATTTGATTTTTATTTTAAGGTGAAAATTGATTTGCAAGTAACCATGCCTCACAGCTACCCCTATGCAGCGCTGCAGCTGTTTGGACGGGCATCTGAGCTTGACAGGCAACAGCAGCTACTTCTCAACAAAAGTCTCACTTCTTATATAGAGACTTTTGATCAAGGTGAGCTCTGTGTATGTGCAGCAATTCAGTGGATACAGGACAATAGCGCATCCTATGTCTTGAACAAAAAGCTCGTTCATGAACCATCTGCACAAGTAAAGCAAGTCAAGAACACATTCCTCCGAATGTGGATCTACAGCCACCATATATATCAGCAGGACCTAAGGAAGAAGATTTTGGATGTTGGGAAAAGGTTAGATGTGACTGGGTTTTTCATGACAGGAAAGCCTGGTATAATCTGCGTAGAGGGCTTCAAAGAGCACTGTGAGGAATTCTGGCACACAATTAGGTATCCCAATTGGAAACACATTTCCTGTAAGCATGCTGAAAGTATCGAAACTGAAGGAAATGGGGAAGATCTACGCCTTTTCCATTCTTTTGAAGAATTACTCCTTGAAGCCCATGGTGACTATGGATTAAGGAATGACTATCACATGAATCTGGGCCAGTTCTTAGAATTTCTCAGAAAGCATAAAAGCGAGCATGTTTTTCAGATATTATTTGGTATTGAAAGCAAAAATTTGGAATCCTAGGAGGCTACTAAGAAGCTTGTAATTTCACTAAGTGTTTCTGTTAATAAGACCAAAATAAAAGGGCAGGTGGCAGTTTAGCATCCTCTGTGAGAAATCTAGCTTCAGAATTTTCACCTAATAGTGAAACAGACCTTTTAACTTTACAACAGTGCAATTGTGATGTTACCTCCACGTTCTTGTTAAATTATATGAAAACTACTTATTGTAAGTTAATAAAAACTATCAGTTTAACTAGTGAAGCTGATTGATTAAAGAGAAGTCCAAAGCCCACAATTAATGTCAAAAATCAAATTGCAGTTACAAATTCACAAATACAAATAACATTTCTCCCTATCATGATGCTAGTGCACAAGTGACAGACCAGATTTTCTTTGATTACTGGCAATGAATTCTAGATTTAGTTTAAAATGAGAACACACAGAGAGAGAACTTCTTACATAAAATTTTAAACCCCTATTTTGAGTTTTTTAGCAAAACTAGCCCCTATCTGTAATGGCAGAAGAATCACAGTGATTCGTAGTGATAAAGTCACATGAGTAATGAATATGACACATGGTGCTGTGTCTGGGCTAGTTATGTCACTTGGTTAATGATACTAAGGATAATGATACCAGTATTCTTAGTTCAGTCCTTAGCTACAAAAAGGAAAAAAAAAAAAAAAGGCTTGTCTACAAAGTGTTCCCCTGATTTCGTCCCACCTTGGCTCGTGTGCCAGTGTACCTTACTGCCTAAGGCAAGAAGTGTTGAAAGGGGACCAGCAGGGATCGCTGTGCATCATCACCTTATTGGGAAAAATAATCAAACTCTACATTTTGGTGATGTCACTGCCATCTCTTCTGAAAATTCCAAGCTCCACGGGTTTTTCTAGCCTTTCCGCAAATGAGAGAACTCAAATAGCTTATTTTATGATAAAAACCCTTAGTTAAGTAGCTCTTGCCGTACCTTTTCATTACAAAGAACCCATCCTTCCCCTTGAATTTCTGGCAGCGTCTCCATGACTTTCTCTGGTTTCAATGGTCTCTCCTTAGCTACTGCTGCCTTTTCCCACGGAGCATTTCATTCTCCTGCTGGGTCCCCTACCAGTTCAGTCGGGCACTGCATTGATGTCCCAGACACTCAGAATGCCAGAACTGAGTGTTGGGATTTAGTAACCTGGAGGGGAATGCCTAGCTCCCCATTTTAAACTATTGCCTTTTGGAAGGATGCCAAAACAGTGCTGTGTGTGCCTCAGGAGTTTATAGAATTGATGAAACAGTACATGCTGTGTCTAGGATACAGATGTGTATCATTCAGCGAGGTAGAGTACATAACTGACCAGCAGACACCATACTAATCAGAGTCTCACCTCACTCTCTTACCATTAGGCTTTGGAACTGGGTCTACCATGTCCTGCCTGCTTTCTTGGCTCAGAATGGGCTTCCTTTTAGGACACAACTCAGACCTTCAAGACAAGGCTCTCCTTGGGCCTGCCCTGTGGTATCATCCAGTTTGTGCATTGGTGTCTTAACCCTAGCCTTCAAGGGGGCAAGGACTCAAGTTGGGGCCCCACACTTTACCTATACACAAAGGGAAAAAATATTACTTACATTCCAAAGACTCATTTCTCAATGTTTACCATGACTAGAAACAATATAATATAGGAGTCATTTTTCCATATCATTTCTCCAAGACTCAATAAGTATAGTTAGAATTCATAAGTCGTTAAACAGGTTTAACTCCATTAACTTTTTTTCTTTGAAAGGAGACAATATGTGCCATTCACCAACCTCATAGAGGTTTATTTTATTTTATTTTTGGACTAAAGTATCTATAGAAATGTAAAGAAACTTAAAGAACAAAATATGTAACAAAAATAGATTATTCACATAACTATAAACAATGGGAATAAATTCTAGTTTAAGAACTTATAAGATGCTGCTTCTGGAACAATTTTTTTTTTTTTGCCAAAAAACTTTTATTAATTAACTTATTGAGGAATATTTTACATACAACAAAATGTGCTCATTTTAAATGTATAGTCTGGTGAGTTTTTACAAATGCAGCAAAGCCCTGGTGGTATAGTAGTTAACAGCTTGTCTGCTAACCAAAAGGTCAGCAGTTCAAATCCACCAGCTACTCCTTGGGGCAGTTCTATTCTGTCCTATAGGGTTGCTATGAGTTGGAATCGACTTGACGGCAATTTTTTCTTTTTTTTTAACCACCTAGTCAAAATATAGAACATACCGATTACCCCAAACAGTATTCTGGACCAATTTTTGATAATTTTTCAGAACCTACTTTTACATTCCCAATATGAGCATGTGGCGATACCTGTCTCCCCCCTCTCAGACGTATTGATAATAGACATTAATTATGGGAGAAGTATAGATTTTATAGAAAAAATATATACATATATAACTCAAACTTCAGCCTTGACTGATGGTTTTCTTCGCCACCTGATAGGAGAACATATAACCTCCTCCCCATGTGCATATACGTGCATGAACGTATACATACACGATGAGCCAACAGACCATAATACAGGAACCACTAAACATCCCTGTATGAGATCAGAAATATGTTGCCTGTGAACTCGACTCTCCGTATATGACTGCTTACATGCCATCCCAACTCAGAACTTGAGAAGGCTTGGAGGTTGCCTATCTGAGGTCTTCACAGAAGCCTCTTGAATAGGACAATTCTCTTTCATTTTCTTTTATCTCAAGTAGCCCAGTAATAAGCAAAAAGAGTAGTTATTTTCCAAAGAGTTCATGATTTTGCTAAATAATCATGGTTCCATACAGAATCCTGATTTTCAAGAGAAACTCTGAGCCCATTGGATCTCCCTTATGAGGTCCACGTGGTGAAACTACTTTCACTGGAGCCTAGACCAGCTGGAAAGAACTCTTTTCCTCAGCCCAGTCAAAGCATTTGGATCAACCCGTAAATAGGGTGGAGCAGCACACCCAGTATTCAAAGAAGCTCACCACATATCGAAGTTCTCCTTAGTGGTAGGACAAACAAAGCACAAAATTTGTTCTTCACTTTGGAGGGAACATCTCAACTTGCACCAGAGAAAACGTGACTGAGCTGGCAGCCTCTAGTGCTTTCATTGGGTTTTTCTTCCGCCCTATGGCATGCATGTGCCTTATCAGTCGTATTATCAGTGTGTTGGCCAGCATGATGGTAAGATGATCAAGGTCTTTTAATAAGGATTATATTCTGGCACAAAGAGCGTTAACGTAACAATGAAAAATGGCAATCAAGTGTATTGCTGCTTATTGAGAGAGTGAACAAACTGCTTCAGATGCTCTCTATTATGAGAATAAAAAGCAGGGGGAGTGGGGAAGCATTGATCAAACCAATAGCTACCTACTGATTTGCTCCAGGAAAGAGAATTTGTCTGACAGCAGCTACAGTTGGAATCATCATCTGATTAAGTTTATGAACATGTGAATATGTGCTATCACATAACAAAACCAACCAAACCAAACCCATTGCTATTGAGTTGATTCCGACTCATAGCCACCCTATAGGACAGAGTAGAACTGCCCCATAGAGTTTCCAAGGAGCAGCTGGTGGATTCGAACTGCTGACTTTTTGGTTAGCAGCCAATCATGTTAAATCCAAATGTGATAAGAATTAACACCCCTGCTACTTTTAAAACTTTTAATGATGGGACTTTCTCTGCAAGTCATCCTTTTGAGTGTTTTAATTCTATTAAAAACCACTTGGTACTTCCTACCAGAATAACCCTTTATTTATGTAGCAGGGATCCATTGTGGGGATATTGCCCTTGCTGACAAGGAAATCAATTTTAACTCTTCACTCAGGAACTGGGAAAATAACAAGGGTAGCTTCAGAATGCCACTGGATCTGCCATGACACAGACTTGAGTTAAAATCCCATTTATTTCTTCATTCCTATAGCACCCACTTCGTTCCATAGATCACAATGGTGTCAGAGACCCTAGAAATTTATATTCATTCAGAGCTGTTGTCAGATGATTTCCCAAAAGTCTAGTAGCTTCCTTTCTGCAGTGTATTGTTAATCCTAGTAAATGGAAAGGAAGATTTTGGAATATACTTATGATATTATTGCAGAATTCTTCACTTTAGGGATCTTTATCTTCCTTTCATTCATATCTCGGTGTGGGAATTTGGTAAGGGCCCTGGCACTCTATCCTGGTGGCTGCAGGCAGACCTTTCTGCTATTGTTGTTATACATATCAAGTAGGACCTAAGTAGGCTGCCCACCAATTTTGTCCTAAGTAAGACTGATTTCAGCTGGTCTGAACTGGCTGTATCAGTTGTTTACAGCAGCATCTATTTTTCTTGGTCAAGTGCTGTCATGGTTGTTAAATTTTTGGACAACATTTCAGGCCTTGGGGCCCTGTGATTAACTGGCCCCAAAGATTCCTGTAAACCAAACTATTCTTATTACACTGTACCTGCTTACTATTAGAACAATATCTACCTTGTCTCTAATAGTTAATTGCTACAAAGTGCTGCTGTTAGGCCTCTATCAATCCTAAGATTCTGATATCTCCATTGAAGCCCATTTTAACCATAGTATTCTCCATAAGCCTCCCAGTTTAGACAGAAGAGCCACATTAAAACTCTTTTCATGGATGCTAGTATTCTCCTCACCAATATATTTCTCAAGACCTTAGTGAAAAGCAGGGCTTCAAAACGGTTCTGCCCAGTTCAGTCATGGTTGATGAAGGGAAACCCGAATGAATCTGAATTTTTAAAATGTGGGTGAAACAGAACCATAACCAGAACGGAAAAACTTACAGGTCAAACCCTGTTAAGACAGTTAATCTCTCTCTCTCTTAGAAAGCAAGGGGAACTTACGAGTCACATAGCACCCAAATCTCTTGGTCAGATTCTCAGCAGAAGCAGAAACAGCCATGTCCTGCTCAAAGATGGTGGCCGGCTGCGCTGGTTTACATGTGTGTTCCTCTCCGCAGTCCTGCTGATAATCCAATCTCACACATCAGGCTCCTGAAAGAGCTCAATACGCCTCTTCCGAGTCTCCCATTCCAGAGCTCTGACTCGTAATTTTTCCTGTTCCAGTTATCCTTCTGTTTCACTCAAATTTTAAAAATTTGGGTCTGTTCCGATTTCACGTTGTTAGCCATGGAGGAACCAATTTGAACAGGTTGGAAGCCCTCGTGAAAAGAGGGCCACTGATAAATCCTTACAGAAGATGCAGGGGATCATTAGGATTAGGAAGGTCAGATTGCACACCAGAAATACACTCCAACATTCCTCTTTGTACGTCTATGAATTCCTCTCTTATTCCAAGAAATGTTTTTGTTCTCAATTTCATTTAATGTCAGCCATTATTAGGTCCACGTTACAGTCAATCACCTGAACCAGCCAGTGGCGTCCCTTCCAGCTGCT